TAAAACACAACAACTCTAGTTTCAAAGATTGAAATATATCCATTATACCCCATATAATGTAAAAAGATTAGAAGCACCCTCCCCTTCTCCCATCCTGGATTCATATTGTGCTAAGAAGCAGCAAATACCTGACTAGGTAAACATCAATGGGGCCCATCGTGCTCCGTAACACTATTCTGTATCTCCTTTGTGGATAATCAACAGCCTATTAGAGGCAAGAAGGACATGCTAAGATATGTGGAAGTGATTAAAGGGCAAGAAATGGAACAATATTTTTTCTGTAATAAGGAGATATAGGTTACCTCGTCAGGGTCTGGAACTTCTAAAGTGGTACCATGTGGAGCTTTAATTGCTATCAATGTTTCATTCTGATCAAACCAATCAATTTTTAGACTAAGCGGTCAATTATTGAAGGTTGCATTTAGAAAGAAAGGGAATGGAAAAATTGGAAGGAGGGTTAAAATATTACCTGGAAACAAGGTAAGCTCTTGATATCATCTTCAGTGACGAAAAGCCATCTTTGAAAAGAAATTTTCAGGATATCAGTATTTAAGAATGAAGAAGAAAATGGTGAGCAGCTAAATCCATCAAAAATCGCATGAGCAGAATGTTAATCATATTTAAGCCAAAGATGCTACCTTTGATTATTTTCATCTTCACTCAGGTCCCTTAAACTTTCCTGCATTTCTCTGAAAGAAGCGAACAATAACACAATGTAAGGTCAGAGATGAAGCAAAGCACTGTTGGATTTTTGTATTACAAGTTAAGAAGTTACCTTATCTGGTCATCTAATCTATGCTCTTCAACCGTCAACTTTTCCACTTCTGCCTGCAAGAGTGCAAACTCCCGATAAGAGAATACCATTAAATATGTTACTAGCAGGTCAATGCAAGTTAGCAGCCTTCAGCAGAAGAGGCACATGTTAAAATTAAGAGCATTGGAATGCTTAAAACTGTTGTTTTGTGAAAAAATAGAGGATCTTTTCATCAGTCCGAGCCCCTTTTGCTCAAGTTACTTCACTTTTAGAGGACAAATGTGTAAACTAAAAAACATTAAGAAATACAACAGGCGTTGGAGTAATGGTCCTTACCTGTAAACTTGCAACACTCTCGTCAGCTTCTCCTGGTTTCGAGACACCTTGACCCCTACATAATAATGTTTAAAATCATATTTTAACTTATGTTTTCTCTGAATTATCCCGAATCGCATTATAAATATTGATAATAAACAACTGAGCAATTTATTCAAATTGGATGAGCATCTCCGCCCATACTTCCACTGGATCCTGTTCTTGAGTTTCTTTTCTATCAGCCCAATGCCTTCCAGGACATTTGTGATGTCATATATACGCCTTTTCTGCACCTGTTATAAGAAATAACCACCTAAACTGGTAAGACCTCATCAGGCATAGTAGCATCAAGATTCAGAATACTGTCTTCTGCATTGTTTGAATAAATTGAACTTCACCTCTAATGTATCAGCAGCCTTATTTAGATCAAGCATACCGTCTTCTGCATGTTTGATTAGATTGATGAACTTCTTCGTTAGAAGACCTGAATGGAAATCAAGAGATGCTGTTATAAGTACTAGTTTAGTATATAGCTCTTCCATGTAACAGGTAATTGCCAGAGAAGTATCCAATAAACCACAAATATGTAACACTTTAGAACAACTCAGGCATTAGAGAAATAATAGATTAAAGGACAAATCAACAATTATGTCATCAAAGTTTTAATTTACCCAGGGAGCTATCATATCGACAAGGACCAACAGGAGTAACATTATTGCCTGAAGGGGATCCTGTAAATTCAATAAGCAAAAGTTAGAACTATTAATTCTCTGCTTATATAAATAAGGTTTGTCTCAGAAAAAGTGAACAACAAAGATAAGGATTGAGAGAGAGAAGGGTATGAAAAGAAGCAGCAGCACATAATCTACAATTTACTGGCTTGCAGAAGTAAGATTGCTATACTGAATGTTCCATTGAAAGAACATGAAGTACACTAACATTTTGAATGAAACATTTTTCTCAAAAATCCTCACCAACATTGGAGGTAACAGCTTGAGAGGCAGATCTGGCCTTTGAAGTCCTAGGAACTTTCTGTGCATTTTTTCCAGATACTGGTGTCTGTATGGGACTGTTGACATTAGTATATCCAGAAGCTGGATTCCGGTCACCAACCCCCTGTCCATAATTTGCTGCTGCACTCTTCCGCTTCAGTGGCTGAAAAAGACAATTGAGTACCCCAAGCTCTGTCAGCAAATTATTTTAAAGATTTAACCTAAATTGTGTCTGAAAATGAAATTGATATATAAATGTGAACTTGTCAACCGCATGCATCTCCTTTAAATTAGCATAGGCTAAGTGCAAGTTTCATTTTAAATTAACAAGTATTTCGCATGAACAATGGCAAATTAATCACATACTATCAACACTTTGAATAATAAGTGAAAATTAGTCACACTGATGGTCATACTAACAGTTCATAGCTTGGATAGCTGAAGACGGATGTATTGTTATGGAAAAAACAGATGAAACAACCATCAAATAGCTGCTCAGTGCGAGGATGTAATGAGACCATAAGTTCATTGGTTTAAACATTCCCCAAAACCAATAAAAGGAAAGAGAAAAATTAAATTAGAGAATATGCCCGATAAATTAGTCTTCCTTAAGTTTAGTGGTAGATTAAATACTACCAAATCTTCCACTAGATCAAGGTTCTAGAGACTCGTATCAAAAAGAATATGTCCTATAAAACCTAATAAATAGTGTGCTACATCTGAAACATTTCTCAGATACTTACGCATAGTCCCTTTGAAACATTTCTCAAATGCTTTTACGATTGGAGAAATAAGTTGAGCTCAATAAAGCTACTATGACCACTATACATCCAAAATTCAACAGCACATTTAACACAACCAGTTCCTTGATCCATTTTATACCACTGGCACTCAACAATAAAGTAAACTACATCACAGAAAGACATACAGCATAGCATTAAGGAAAATGGAGAGCTTACAAGAGCCTGAATTGTAAAGCAAGAATTCCAGTCAAAGCCACCTCAAAACTTCACTTAAACAGCACAAAACCTCAATTTTTCCAGTCGAAAATCTTAACCAACGATCAATAAAGCAACTTTCACCATTTAATATCCAGACGCCAACAACAGATTATACATAAAACTGTTCATTTATCCCATAAACACACCTATATTGCATCAGTAAGGCACTAAAGAATCACAAAGAAAGCTCACTAGTCTCGATATCCAAAATTCAACAACATTTAACACAACCAGTTCCTTGATCCATTTCTACCACTGTCATTCAACAATAAAGCAAACTACATCACAGAAAGATACACAGCATAGCATTACACAATTGGAGAGCTCACAAGAGCCTTAACAGTAAAACTACAATTCAAGTCAAACCCACCTCAAAAGCTTCACTTAAACAACACAAAACCTCAAATTTTCCAGTCAAACATCTTAACCAGCAATCAATAAATCCAATTTCACCATTAATACCCAAACTCCAACAGCAATTTTTACACAACACTGTTCAATTTACACCACACACATATTACATCAGTAAGACACTAAATAACAGTAAAAAAAGCTCACCGGAGTCTTCACAACAATTCCAGGGGGTTCTTGAGAGGAACAATCAACTGGTTCTGTGGAAAACCGGTGGTAGTCACCAAACACCGGTTTAATCGACGAAAACTGAAGCTGACGCTTCAAAGATTGTTGCTGCTGCTGCTGCTGTTGGGGTTTCATGATCTGCTAAAATCTTCGTTCTTGAACAACCCCACCTGCTAAAAACTCCCAAAATTCCCAAAAAAATCTATCTTTTTTGTGTTCAGTGACAAAACAAGAGGTAAAATTGATGAAATTGAAAGCCCTTTTCGATTCTTGAAGTTTAAGGCATATGGGGTTTGGCAAAAACGTGGGAATTGATGGAAAAAAAGGAGAATTGAGTGGAAAAAGATGAAGAAGATGAGATCTGAAATTGGGAAAAGGGAAAAAGAAAATAGCGGGAAGAGAGAGAAAGGGAAGAAGAAGAAGAAGAAAGAGAGGGAATTTAGTTCGGATATATAGGTGGAGGGAATTTGCAGTTATTTGTAAATAAAAAAAATACTATATTATAAAAATTAATTAATCAAATTAAATAAATGGTACTTTAGTACTATGTCTTTTTTTAAAACAATATGATATGCAATTATAGTTTAATCATATGGTTAAGAAAGTTTGGATCTAGTTTGCACCCTCTATTTTCACATGTCAAATTGAATTCTATGGGCTCCTTAAAAATTTATTTATTGATAGAGATTTTAATATGTTTAGTTAATCGGTTAAAAAAAAGTTACTTGCATAGCGATAATCATATATAGTCATCAATAATATTTGTGTGGTTATAAATACAATATTAAGGGTCGGGATATAGTTCGATACGGCTTATCGATTTGTAGATATGTTTTTAGAGAATTATTACTATATTCATTATTGATTATTAGTCATTAGAGGTTAGGTTATCGTTTGAATTGTTAGTCAGTTTTAAATCAGAAGTAAGTCGCACTAGATTAAACAATTATGAAAATAATCATTAAAACCTACTCAACAAAACTAAAAGGAGGAGCAAGATTCACATCACTTGAAAAATATATCATAACTTTGTATAATAGCAACATGCCCGATGAAATTCCATACGAGAGGTTTGAGAGGGTAAAGTGTATCTAGACTTTGTCTATCTTATGGAGATATAGAGGTTGTTGCCAACTAATACGCATTTGTGCCGTTATAGTTGGCCTCCTTGGGTGTTCGAGTCATGGGAATAGACTAACCATGGGGGAAGTGTTCTCTACAAGGTTAGTCTATTCCATGACTCGAACACCACAACCCTCTGGGGGAAAATAGTTGCAAACTCATACTAGAAAAGTCACATAGCTCAAGCATACAAGTAAATATTTGACAAGATTTCCATTCATAAATCATACCACTGCTCAGCATCTGAATCTCACTGTACCAGTACAGAAAACTAAACATCAATTTGAAGTTTATACATGTTCTTAAGAGTATTGCAGTTGATTTACTCCATTATTTAAGTAGACGAGCAAGGTCGGGGTCATCTAAGCTGACATCCAACCATCCCTGTAAGCGCATGTATTCTATGTAATGATCGGGTGGCCTTACAGCACGAGGGTTTCTTGGAGTGAAGCCATGAATCCTCTCGAGGTCACGAGCTAGCCATCGAACGTATGCTTGATCTAGAGGAGGCACAATCTTCAAAAGCACCTCATCTCTCTCCGGCTTTGCTGGCCTATTTCCCATCACCGGTCAACTTCAAGAACCTGATGACTGATGCAAACAAGAGACAACGTGGTGAGACAAAAAGGGATATGCTGAAGGTTAACAAACACTAAACCACAAAGAGAAGAAGAATAAGGCATCTCAATGAAGCCGAAGATAAAATGAACAATAAACATGTGGAAGGAGGAGCTGTGTCAATACTTTCAGGAGCAGTATAGAAAGTAAGAACATCTTGGCAGCATATGGTCAATATCAACTTTCTTTTTTCTCAACGCAACAAATCAAAGGCTTCAAGGATAGAAATGCTTAAAGTTCGAGCAAGAGTGTGAAATAATCAACATAGATGTCTATAAGTAGGATGATTGGACCAATCTAAGTTGCTCCGACTCTTCAAAAATGCCAACAAGTGCAAGTCGGATCCTCCAAAAGTAGCTTTTTTGGAGGATTCAACACAAGTGCAACAGCATTTTTGGAGAGTCCAAGTTTCATGGGCACCAATATGATTCATTGCCCATGCAGCAACAGTCGCTCTATTTCACTTTCAGCAATCAGCATTTTTCTACTGGCTGTGTTGTAATGACTTTTGAGAACAACTTGATTAAGCATATACAGAACCTGGTCTAACAGACCTATTATATAACATTAAGAGCAAGATAGGCTTCCAAATATCATCTTGGATAGCTTGCTGGTCTTATGGTTCTGGTAAGTACCATTCCCTAAATTCTGAGTCTCTTTGCAGTCAACAGGCACTGGATTCATAATTCAGAGAAATTGTTCAGAGTTTTCCATTTTTATTCTTGGTTTGGCGTAAATTTACCAAAAAATTTTCATTTAACAGTTTTCTCCCCCTGGGGCGGCCGCAGATCTACACCACAAGCTATGGGTTCGCAAAATCCAGTAGAGGTTTGGCCCAAACTATGTAATGGTGTTAAGAAATGAAATTCACTTAATATGTGTGAATTAGATATCTATCCCGAAACCAGTTGTTGTAGTGTACTAAAATCAAGAACCGATAGACTTAAAATCTTGGATCCACCTCTGCTTCTCCCACCTGCCACCCAAAAGAAAAGCTCTTCAATTGAAATGAATCTGCTTAATTTGCAGAATTCTCAAGTATTCTTGCAGCTGTAGTTAGCAATAAGCTTTAGAAGGACTTACTTATATGTATCTTTTTATCAGTAAGTTTTAGTGGGATTCTCTTTCAGCAGAAGTTAGAAGATAAATGCAGTACCTAGTCCCGGTTGCAAGTTGAGGGATCTACAAATGATTCTACAGATTATTAATTTTTTGATAACCGTGGTGTCCGGGTCAACTTGCTTCCATGGGATACCTGCTACCTCCCACCAACAACAAGTATAAGGTAACTCTGTCCACCGAGGCTTGGACATATGGCAAATGATTCTACAAATAAAATGCCAAGAGATCGAAAAGGGGTAACAACATGATAAGCAAGAACCAGGAGATGGAGTTTTCCATCTTCATTAAATAATATATGAAAGAACTTGCAAAAAATATCATATCAAGCACGTAAGATGATTGGCAATGGCTGAGATGGCTACCAGTGACTGTATTCTGTCCCTCTCAATCTAAATACAAACTAAAACCTGCATCAAACATAAATAGGTACAAATGACATTATGACTCAAGAGCAGCTCAATCAACCTGCTGATTAGAGCTATTATCAGTATAGGTTCGGACTATGTAAGCCACAAAAAGCATCTTGCACTGACAAATTCTACAATTGCATCATTTTCCTAATCTAAATGTCTATTGCTATATAATTTCCAGTCCAGTACCTTCTTTTATTTTATTAGTACATTCCATATACAGATGGTTTTAGGTTACCCTCTTAGAATTTGCCCATGGAATGAAAAAGCTTATGCAACTAAAAAAAGGTAAAAAAAACTCGGGCACAACCCAAGCATACAAATTAGGACTGTTGTAGAATCCAATATCACAATATCAAAAACAGTCTGAAATTATCTTGGAAGTATAAAGAAGGGTAACAAGCTGAATGTAAGAGATCTTAAAGGAATTCAAGACTAAGGCTCGTTTCTATTTCACCATATTAGGATGTGCCAAAGTGTACCAAGTTTGAAAATGGAAAGCAATGACCATAGAACTAACTATCGACATAACAACTAACAAGAATCTTATAACCAATCCAAAATTTACTCCGATCATCACCAGCACAATTGAGAAAAAAATACATTTTTGATAGTAAGTCTAGAAAAGGCTGATTGTGATTTTGGCACTGTTTGGTATGACTAAAATCATTCTCCACAACTACATTTTAAAATTGTTAACTTCAAATATAAGAAGTTATGTTTTGGTGTTTGGTTACTGAAAATATTTTCCATCAAAAGAGGAAAATGACTCTTGACTTATCTCATAAGTCATGTCCTTTTACTGCTATTTCAACTCTTACTCCATATCGCTAGCTCCAACCAACAACAACAACAACATACCCCGTGAAATCCCGCTAAGTGGGGTCTGGTGAGGGTAAAGTGTACGCAGACTTTACCACTTCCTCGGCTATCTCCAACCAATGCTTACATATAATACCCACAACTTATTTTTCCGAAAAACATTTTCCTTCATGCCTAACACACCTAAATGGAAAAAGCACCTTTAGTCTTCTTACAACTATCTCTTGCTCCTAGCAATACACATCACATTCACTCTTCTTTTCAAGATTACGCCTAACATCATCAACCCTCCTCCATAGTCTCATTCACAAACTCTACCTCAAAATAGATTCCGCAAATAAGGCCTTACACAAACAATTGGTGATAAAAAAACCATGATTTAATCAAAAAGGACAAGTCTTTAAACCACAAAGAAACAGAAATCAGAAAAAAATCAGTATCAATGACAATATAAACTCTAGTATGTTCATCAAAATTGCAGTCAGCTAAAATTTGGCTAGTCAATAGAATTGAGAACCATAAGTTTGTCTCATGTTCGAAACCCCTTATTGGCCCTTTTGACTCGAGCTCGTTCACAGGACTTGCCTAGTGCGATTTACACTCGACTCGAGTAACACATATTAGAACTAAATTTAAAATATGAGAAGAGACAGATGAACTCACCTGATGAAGAACAACCAGAATCGCAAAATCCTCTAGAAAAGGAACAGAGGAATGGCTGCCACAATTTTGTTTTGCAGCATTTTCGGGTTCAAGTCGGTTTCCGGGTCGGATCTCGAAATATTGTTTTTTTTCCCTTTTCTATTTATTTCATTTTGAATAATTTGTTTTGGGATCAGACTAATTGGTGTGAGGTGTATAAGGTATAATAAATCCATATAAAATATAGGATTATTTTATCCCAAGTTTGGTATGAGGTATTGGGTAGTTTTTGGATTATTTATTCCACCATTTTCGTCATAGTGATGAAATGAGTTATCTTATATACATGGTGAAATAACTTATTCTGGATTAAATTGTTCCTAATCAAACGACCACTATTACGCTTACTTGTCATCACTCTCACAAACCACTTGAAGCTCGTTTGGTACGGGGGATAAGATAAACAACGTAGTATAAAACAATTTTGTATAATGAGATAACTTATCATATCGTCGTTTGGTTTGAATTCAAATTATGATGGTATTAGTTATGATGAGATTAGTTATGATGAAATAAGTTATGATGAGATTATTTTTTATTGAGTGTTTGGTTTGTTGTATTCAAAATAATACTGTACATTTTAAGAACAATTTATTTGTTTACAAAAATGTCATTCATGAATGTAAAAAGTGATGTAACAAAAGGGTTGAAAGAGACATTTTTGTCATTTACTTATTTTATCCCGAGATAAGTTGTCTCGGGATTACTATACCATCCAAAGGGAGGGATAACTTATCTCGATACTAATTATTAATCCCGGAATAAGTTATTCCGAAATTGCCAACCAAATAACAAATTAAGTGGTACTATTAATTTAATACTAGGACTATTCGATATTATCCTTCACACCAAACGAGAAATAATAATTCTGGAACTAATTACTATCTCTCACCAAATGTAGTATAAAACAATCTTGTCATTTATCCCAAAAAATTAATATTCCTTCTCATACCAAATAAACCCTTATACTACTCATTTTACTTTTAAATATACTCTCATTGTTCCAATTTATATAGCACGATTCAAATTAAGAGATTTAAACAATTTAAATTTGATCATGAAGCCTTCAAGTTTTTTTTAATTTAGAAGATTTCTCTTACTACTGTCTTCTTCGGCAGAATAACGTGGAAGGTCTTTATATTTGACTCGAATTGTCACTTGGACCATTTTACATATAATTTTTCCAACTGAAAACACTTAAACTGAATGAAACTCGACCTTCTAAACTCTTTTGGTTGTGCTATTGTGCCAAGGTGCATCTTCTGAATCATACATTTCATTCTGTACTCATACAAACTGTGACAAAGATCCATGATTTCAGTAACACAATTTACAAACAAAAGACAACAATGGCAGAAACACAGTTTAGAAAATGTGCCTGCATATGTGTTCCCAAGTAACTACTAGCAATAACCAAAACGACAACAGAATGTTTAAAAAGTCGAAAGACCATTATCAGCAAGTGGTTGTAGGATTATCCTCGGAGGATTCAGCAGCAGAAGCAACTATCAACTGAGGCTCAGGGATGACACCTTCTCTTCGTGCCTTTCTACGTTCACGTTGTAATCTGAAGGACTCTCTCTTTCGGTTTCTATAGCTGTTGGGGTTTTCAGGTTGCACCTCGCGTGGATAAACACTTATCTGCACATTCAGTATACGTTAATAACACTGGTGTACCACATATCTACAAGCAGTAAGCTAAAGAACTCAACCTTTTTTCTGTCAGGCCCAAACTTTTCAAATTTGACTAGTCCATCAATCAAAGAAAATATTGTGTGATCTTTGCCAAGTCCAACATTCTTTCCTGGGTGGAACTGGAAATATCACCAAGAGGACGATTAGTATTCATCAAGGAAACAGAATAAGCATCATCATATTGTCAGAAACGAAGAACAACTCAAGTCGGATTTATATACAAGTGTGCAGCCTTAAAGTACCAAAAGATTTGCATACTAAATTTAGATAAATGACTATAAGTTAGAGCAGATTACAACTGTGCTTGTCATTTCTTAAAGAGGACTTCTAACTATGTCTTCACGATAGATCAGGTACGAGAGCTCAGAACCTTAAACCTTATAGCAATTTATTACTTCAAATGACAACAAGATAAGTATCCCCTTAAACCTTCCAATACCTTGTTTTGTACTCAATCTAACGCCCTTTAGACGATCCATATATTTCCAACAAATAATATACAATCCAAATGCAGAAAGCTAGAAGAATGGAGCAGAGATATTGACAAGATGCCAGGACCTAGTATGTTTGTGAGGTATTGAGGAAAAAAACTGGAATTATACTCTACTTGGGCGGGTTCGTCTGAATTCATTTCAAGAACCATAAATCAATCAAAAGAACTATCAGAACTTCCACAGTAAATATGAGTTTTAGGCAAAAATAAAAAAGAGAGAGGAGACCCAGAAGAAGTAAAATTGAAACCTTTGTACCGCGCTGGCGAACGATTATAGAACCGGGCTTGGCGACTTGGTCACCATAAATCTTGACACCAAGCCTCTGTCCAGGAGAATCTCGACCGTTCTTAGTGCTACCTGCTCCTTTCTTGTGTGCAGACTCAATTGTCAATGGAGATTTCAACGGGAAGGAAACGGAGAACTTGGGGGCAATGGGAAGAGAAACCCCGAGGAGAGAATTGGAAGATAAGGAGAGTCCTTTGAATGAGGAAACAAGACTCAAACTCACTGCCATTTTTACGCTGCAAAGAAAACAAAGAAATTCAGTAGCCTCTCGCAGCACTTACTCTCAAAGATGAGAGGCCTAAAGGAAAGGGAGTGATATTTAACAATGGGAAAAATATGAGCATAGAACTACTAAGAGGACAAAACTATTACCATAACAACTACCAAGAATCTTATAGCCAATCTAAAATTTCCTCTGATCATCGCGAACACAAAATGGATAAAATATATTTTTATATTAAGTCCACAGAAGGTCTGACTCTGACTTTAACACTGCTTGGTATGACTAGAACAGTAGAAGAGTAATAAAAAATGGTTCCTAGAAATATTTCCTAAGAAAAAATGGTTTCCATCAAAAGGGGGAAATAACTCCTCTCACTTATGAGATAAGTCATTTCCTATTACTACTATTTCAACTCTTTCTCCTTATCGCTCGCTCCAACCAGTGTTAAGATAATATTGTCTTTCTTAATACTCAAAATTTTATCAAAATATAATCCAATTTGCTGAGCTTATTATCAATCTTTAATAATGCATTTAACTTGACGATAAAACGAGGAAAACAAATAAAACGTTTCAAAAATACATTTCCCAATCCTATATACCAAATGAATTGATGTACTCTAAAAACACACACACCTAACCAGAAAAGTACTCAAGTCCCCATTACAACTATCTTTACTCCATTCTATATCTCTTGGATATCAATACACATTACTTCCACTCATTGCTTTTTTCAAAATTACACCAAACATCAAAACCCTCCACCACAAACGCATTACGCAAACTCTACACCAAAAAATATTCCGCAAATAAGTCCTTACGCAAGCAATTGGTCATAAAAGGACCATATTTAATCATAAAGGACAAGTCTTTAAACCACAAACAAAGAGAAATCAAAGGAAACCAGTATCAACAACAACATAAACTCTAGTGTGTTCATCAACATTGCAGTCCCCTAAAATCTTACTAGCGGTCAATAAAGTAGATTGAGAACCATAACATCTCAAGTTCAAATCCTAGTGAAACATAAATACTACTCCCTCCATTTCAATTTCCAATAGCAACTCTTCAATTCTACCTTTCCACATTTCATGTTTGTTCACCATACAAGATTAAAGAACATTTTGGTACATTCTACATATCATTAGTTTAACCCCACAAGATTCACAAAATTTCTTTACTTTCTTACATTATTTGCCAAAGCCAAAACCAGACTAATAAATTGAAACGGAGAGAATAGTAAACCAAGATTTGCAAGTCAGCTAAAACTAACTACATTTTCGAACACCCAATTAGATATAGTACAAGAAAAAAACATTGAATTTACAGAAGAAGGGGAGAGAGATGAACTCACCAAGGGGATTATGGAGCCACAATGGCAAAATCCTCAAAGATAAAAGATAAGAGAAATGTCAGCCATCATTTTTATAATATACTTGACCCGTTTTGAATTGGGCTTTTAGCTTGTTTTCGGGTTACTTTAAATATTAACATAGTGGTTTCGTTTATCGAACATAAGTTATGGACATAAATTAGTTTTGCCTATAATACAGAAGTTAAAACATTTCATCGAAGTTATAAAGGGAAATAATGTGATTTTGAATAGTAAAATAAAACATTTTCTTTCGGATATCTTTTCTCCGAAGCTAAAACCCAAGTGATTGTTCTTATATTTTCGGATTTTTTTTTTCATATTGATATTCTTCGAAAAGTATTTTCGAAAAATGAAAACATATTTTAAACTTTTTTTTCATGATTTTCATCGAGAAAATTTCGCACTCCTACTTACAGGCATATATATTATGATTTTTCGATAAAAAGTATTAGAATAAATTATACTTCATACCTCCAAATAACGTACCGTTAGGATTGTCAAAATGAGCCTAAGTATATGTAACTCGTCTAACTCATTTAAAATTTTATGGATGAAGCTCAAGATAATTTGAATTGGGTCAATCTCAACTCATTCAAACTTTAACACATTTTAAAAGAATCTTTAATTGAGTCCAATTTAATCTCTAATTTCAATCCATTTCAAAACTATTTATTTTACATTTGTGTAATGTATGTTCTCATATTGAAGGTATGGATTACTATCTATTTTATATTTTAGAGAATTTATCTATCAATTTGTAAAAAAAAAATAACTTTTTTCTTGAGTTGAAATTCAAATTATGGTTATTAAAGGCAAATAACAATATGTTCAAATTATTGAAATTAAACATGTCAAATTGGGCAGGTCATGATCCAACCCAATTTTTAACCCATTTGAGCCTAACGTAAATTTGGACGGGTCATGATTCAACTCAATTTCTATTTCAATTCATTTTAATACCTTCAATTTTAATTTAACCTGCTCATTTAACACCCCGACATACGATCATGCCACATTGATCTTGAATAATTGCTCATATTATGCTCCTTGAACTAGTTAGTGGAATTGATTGCTCGAATCTAAATTCTAAAGTAGTGTTGGTAAATTAAAGGATTTACAAGTGGATTATTTAAAGTGTTAGATGGTTGATTTTTTACCTTTATAGGACAAGAACAAGTGGAGAATATAAATGCCATGAACCTAATTCTTTCAAAGAATAATATATTTCTTGGTTAAAAAAAAAAAATTAGGTGAACTTTTTGGTATATCTAAATTTCGATAAATATAAAATTATCTAATACATATATAGTAAAAGATAACAAATATCAAATAAAATAATGAACTCCTACATCATGCTATAAAAATAATCCATATGTGCAAATGTATAAATGGTTTTAACATGTAATAGTAAAAATTATCAACAAAGATTGTGACGGAAATTTGAATAGTTCATAATCTCACCACCTTTAGTTAGAGGTCTCAAATTTGATCACCTGAGAATGATTTTTTTTTTTGGTTACAAGTATTGACCTAAAAAATGAGTCATGTAATACACGAATTCGAATTTTAATCAGACTCAATACAAATTTATCTGAATGCCTCTCTAAAAATTATTTTGAACAAAACTTTAACTTCAATTTCAAATTCTCTAAAATAGAAATTTAATTCCAAGTTTGTGATTTAAACTTTTAAAAAAAAAAAAACTTAATTCATAAATGTATATTTTATAAATAAATAAATACATCATACTCAATGTAAATAGATTATTTATACCTTATGAAATAACCATATTAAAAAATAACTAAATATTAATATTTTTAATTTTAAATCAACTTGATTTTTCATCAAATTAATCATCAAATCAACGTAAAACACGACCAAACGGGCCCTCAAAAGCCGTAAGTTAATAGTCAAAGTGCTTTTTCTCAATTAGCACTTTCCTTCTTTTAATAATTGATTGGTTGATTCAATCGGTTTGCGATTAATAATAATATATCTAATGAAATTTTATAAGTAAAATTAAAAGAAAGCAGGATTTACGTAGATTTTATCATTATTTCGTGAATATAAAGAGACAATTTTTGAAATCACGATTCAAATATAAAAATAAATAAATATAAAAAATACATCAACTAACACGATAAGCCGCAATTACTTTTTTTTAAAAAGTATCGAACCCTACTTTGATGGTCACGTTTTTTCTTCATGTTCTCAATGTAGTATTAGTTAAGAAAGATGAAATTAATTATATTATTACATGAAATGTTATTCCAATTAAAATCATCTTATCGTAAAAGCTGAACTTTTTTCAATTATTCTAATAAAATAATTTATCTAAATAATGGTAATAATTTTTTGGGATTTAAATTTTATAATTTCTTGATCTTAGCCCTCGACCCTAGTCTCAGGGTCGAGAGTCAGGTCATGGATTAAACTCACGATCTCCCAAATCTAACCCATCTCGACCTGACTCCCAAGTCCCAATCTTGATTTTGACTCTTGAGTATAAGGTCGACTATTGATCCTAACATGTCAAGTCAGGTCATGGGTTGAACTCGCGATCTCCCAAACCTAACCCCACCTCTACCTGACTTCCAATCTTGATTTTGACTCTTGAGTGTAAGGTCGAGACGTGAAACCTAATTGACTCTTGATCCTAACCTTAATCCGAATTTTAATTACAATATTTTTTGGATTCAATATCATAATATTTGTCTAAATTATATTCCGAGAGGTGTACCATTTTTGCCCTAGACAAAACCTCTCCCTACTTTCCCAACATGAAAGTAACTATAAAAGTGCTATTTTCTTCATGCTTTGGACTCAACTCAATAGCCACCTTCAATCTAAAAGCTCAAAAAAATGGTATCTGAAACAATGGAGTCGATAATCCTTCAGCTTCATGACATCTCCGCCGTTAAATTCGGCGAATTCAAGCTCAAATCCGGTATCTTTTCCCCAATCTACATTGACCTCCGGTTAATCGTTTCGTACCCTTCGATTCTCCGTCAGATTTCAGAAACCCTGGTTGGTTCACTACCGGAATCTACCAAATACGACGTTGTTTGCGGTGTACCGTACACGGCGTTGCCTATTGCGACGTGTATTTCCACTGCACATGACTTGCCGATGTTAATGCGGAGGAAAGAGGTTAAGGATTATGGAACTGCTAAGGCTATTGAAGGTGCTTTTAAACCGGGTCAAGCTTGTCTTATTGTTGAGGATTTGGTTACTAGTGGTGCTTCGGTACTTGAGACTGCTGCTCCTCTTCGTGCTGTTGGGTTGAAGGTTACTGATGCTGTTGTCATGATTGACAGGTACTCCAATTTCTTTTCTTCTTACTCATACAGTTGAATTTATGCTATCGATCACTTTTGTGGCGTTTGGACTATTTTTTACCGGAAAAATAATAAATTAGCTAACTTTATTACAAAGAGTTTTGCAAAAGTCACATTTTTTGGCGTATATGTCAATGAAGTGGGTTGAGAACAACCACGAGGTCACGGTTAGAATCCCAACTAAGACAACAAGCTAGGTGATTTTTTTTGCATATGTTCTGGCCTTAGTGACACCAAGGTTATAAAAATGTTTATTTTCGAAAGATTTTAGACCTTGGATAGTAATTTTTGGGTAAAAGCAGCTCCAATGGTGTTTATTTGGGTATCTAATAGTCACTGTTTGGACTCTCAATGTAAATAGTCCAGTTAATAAACAAGCAAATGGGATATTTCAAGTTGAAAAAATGTTTGTGAGTGGTTATTCATCATGCCAAAATTTGCAGAAAGATTTTCTAGGCTTTGAGGTCAGCATTGTCTGGACAAGTTTCTTTTTTTTGGGCAAAATTTGATATCATAAATGCCACCATAGGCTTTCAAGAATTGTAAGGGTAAAATGTTGGAGTATATTATTTTATTGATTTCTCTGTGTGTGATAGATCAGAGACAATAATTTATTACAACTACTACTATGCCTGCCCTCACTATCCATATTGTTCCATTTAGACCTGTCACAATCCCATATTCAAAGGGAAAAAAAGATTCAGGAAAAGTAGAAGTTCTTCACATTTTCTACTGAACAGGACTAAAAGATTCCTAGCAAACTTTAGACCGGAAGTACGTGCATCAACGCGACAAGTTCTTAATCCCAACTAATTAGTATTGCTTATATGAATTAATACTTAACCCCTATAACATCAAAGGAATTTGATTATCACAGGGTTTGACATGTTTGAGTAGAAGATTAGATTGAGTTTATTATAAAGGAGTTTAAAATGGTCTAGTCATTCCAAAGGAATGACAGAGTTCAAACATGGAGGTCAACTAATCTAACTTCTTTGTGAATTTGGATTAAGTTCCTTTTTTTTAAAATATAAAATGAAATTTATATATTTTAAACTACATAAAACATTGGCGAAATGGTCTGGTGGACCCTTATACTTGTATCAGTTTGTATTCTAAACCCTTCTACTTACACCTTTGTCATTTGGACCCTTAAACTCAATTAAAATGAGACTTTTAAGCCCCTCCAACCATGTGTGTAGCTCACTCTCCTTTATATAATTGACATGTCATATCCACGTCAGATATATTAATGCCACATCATAATTATTTCATAACTATTTTTTATTAACCAAAATTATTTAGTAAAATGTAAAATAATAACATTTTAATTTATTATTGGCATTTCTAATTCTCCCTATTTCACGATCAAACATCGCCGGCGTCGTCGCCATTTTTGCCGGCGAAATCACATATACTTTCTCCCTCACCCATCTTAATCTCCGTCGCACACCATCACTATTTTTCTTTCCTCCTCCAACCTCCACAATAACAATAACCTAAACCACCGCAAAACCAGATCTGGCCACCGCACAACCAGATCTGGCCGAACTTTTCGTAATCCTCACACCCCAAATTGTTTACAAATACAATTTCACACCAACCTATGCCGTGAAACTCGTCGAAATCTACCCATTATAGTTTCTCCCCTTCCCATTGTTTCATGGCCCAAACCATCGCCGCCGTCGC